TTTACAGAATGACGTTCTGCACCACATTACGTCCTTTCGTAACGCCTCAGTGGTTTTGTGCATTCCGTTTTGACCTCATGCCAAATGGATGCCAGCAGTATTTAGTATACCACACTCGCGAGATAGTGATCCAGAATGCGGCGGACACGTTCCTACTACGGGGCCTTGGAGCAGTGGGTCCACCCCCATGGAAATACAGCCTTTTAGTACACTTGCGTAGCAACCAGCGTTTCCGCTATCCGGTCCCAGGGTCCTTCTGGCGCACGGTTGGGCCATGTGTCTCTGCCCCTCCTTCTATGCGCCACTTGAGCCATGAGTACCACAGCATCTCGTGTTTTGCGGCCTCCTCACACTCGTGCGAGCATGAAATGCCCACTCCGGACCCACCAGTGGTGGACCTTGACCCACCAATAGTGGCACCACCACAATTAACCCCGGTAGCAACTCCTGGACAGGATTTCCTTTTCACCTGGATTGAACTCGATCGGATCCGGTGAGGACCTACTGATCGTGGACGCACTATTTTAAACCCGCTGGCGACTAACTGACCGCCCCTTGATGACCCGCATCCCCTTGTGGCGGAGGAACCAGTACCTCCCGAGATGAAAGACCCCCTCCCTCTCGCTGCGAACGTCCACACTGCGGACACAGACATGTCGCAGTAGAATGTGATACTTCCACAACAATCGGTGCCTCTCTTACCACCGAACTTCACGAGTGACGAGTATGCACCCGCTCGTGAACCGGCCCCAGAGGATGAAGGCGAAGGTGTCTCTCCCCTCACCATGGGCCAGACACCATACCTCACCGAGCTATTGGAATTTGAAGCGGACCTACTCAGTGATACTGCGGACCTCCCAGCATTCTTCCCTTCTATGGATTTCAGAAGGTACCCCTTGGCACTGGGGGCCTGAGTATGCAGCTGGTTTGGAGGACGAGCCACCTGTTATCTCACCAGATGTTGACACACTTCCGGCGGGTGAGGTAATCTTTCCGCCCCAGCCCGTTAATCAGCCAATTTATTGATAAGCCGTGGGAAGCTTGTGCCGCACTGAAAGGCAAGTTTGAAGCCTTGACCAAAGATGATATCCAGACATTAGAAGGAAAATTGAATCGCATCACGCAAGAACGGAACAAATCTTACGCCAGCCTTATCAGTCGTCACAACACGGCATTTGTGAAATTCAAAAACGCCAGAGGTACGAAGTCTAATGCGCTATTCTACGGCAGGCTGTAAACGACGATAATCAGACTGTTAAAATTACGTTGAAGACACCCGCTATGATGGTCATGTCGTATGATGAGCTCACCACGTACCTCGTCGCATTGGATCCAGATGAAAGTGACCCATCAACCATTGTGCACGGTGCGCATGCAGCTATATCGACAGGGAATTGTGAATTCTGCAATAATCGTGGGCATTCCATCGGGCAATGCCGTAAGCTACAAGCGCTATCCAAATCATGCGTTGCTGATAACCCACATAATCAGGGTCGTGACCACGACGGTCGTAAACGTTACGATCGACGGATTGACAAATCTGGTCCTCGTCATGACATGAGAGACTACAGATTTTAAGTCCAAGAACAATGACAAGCATCACCGACCGGATTCGAATCGTGACTACCGTACTCGTGTGGAACAGTACAACAGAAACAACAGCTACCAATACCGCTACGATAATAACGATGATCAGGACCGACAGGACTACCGAGTAGATAGGTACAATAGACGCGACTACGACGATGGTAGATATTCACGAGATGTAAACTTCGATGGATATTTCTATGTTTTAAACTATGTTATAACCTAAGATACAATTTATGTCAGTTAGGATTTAGCAGTGGCAGCTTGTGTAAGAATGATCGGGACTGCCTCTTGGTAAGAGCCTTAATATACTCGATCACACAGGACATACCTCTAGCTGTTCTTTATTGAATAAATTTCACTAGAAGTACTAAGTGTTCATGACCACATGTCTAATTTGTAGATAAACATAAGTACGTAAGTCAAGTTGATATATTATCTAATATAAATAAAGTTACACCTGAAGAAAAGTTAAAAAAGAAAAAACTTATTGGATTTTGGAGATTGGCGGGAAGACCAAAACCTGTAGGTAGTAGTTCAGATACTATAAAATTTAGTTTATAATATCCTACATCTACTATCGTCTCAAATAGGTACAAGTAAATGAGTCATACCAAATACTCAGGCTATTGGAGCCATCAAAGTGAATTTAGAACACTTTGGAAATATTGGAAGAAGAACTTGTATTAAATTATTTAAAATACAAATAAAAACCAATGTGTTATCAAATTTGATCTTGATATATTAGACTGACCGGACGCCGTATTTCTACATAGCCCCCAGTAGCTTTTAGGACTACGGACGTACGTGAAGGTACGATCTAGTTCGTAAAGCGAAGTCATTAAAGACGTGATAGCATAACTCTGCCACTGTTTGCGGGCGTTTGTTCGGTATTGCATAAAGCAAGTTGTAGCCCGAAGCCACACATAAGAAATGACAGATACATACATCGCCAAAATGCTTGGATCGCGGGAGTTTAACCAAATCGACTATGACTCGACGCATCGGTTGGTCTTCTGTCACACTTTTTAGGGGTGCCCAATCGTAGCGCTTGATCTGGTTCTTTTCACAATCAGTACAGTGTCGGTATACTTCACGTATGGTTTCTTCAGCGCCGGGTGATCAAGCCCTGCACGAATAGCCATCTTATAAATATGCTCATATGCTCGATGAGTTAAATTATGTATTATTTTAACTCTACTCTCGAGCCCTTCTAAGTCAGTCAGATTCTGTGTAACGCTGGCTAAATGAACCATAGCCCCG